TCTGACGCGTCTGCCTCCGCGACCCGAAAGGAGAAGCGGCGATGGAAGATGAAGATGAAGATGAAGACTATGTACTGCCTAACAAGAACAGAACATCGGCCGTGTCAGTCATGGGGGAGATTATCGTCTATACTTGGTGAGATCACCGGCGCTTACGTTCACAGTTTCGATCAATCTTCTCTTCCGTTACCGTTGCCGTGAAGGCCTGTTTCGAATCATAAAGTAGACGGCTTAAGAGGCTTTGAAGAAACTATTTTGAGTCAATTATTTACTCAGTGGATTTATTTCTGATTATAACCGAAAATCTAATTGGCTATGAGTTTGGCTGTCTAAAATCGTTAGAACAGAGAAACATTCCTTCCATTGTAAATGTTGAACACAGTTAGCCACGTGGAATGTGTGTGCTTAAAATGTACCTGGATAGACAAAGCTTGTTGCATGCGAACGGGGTTGGATGGGACTACAGGTAGCAGCAATGCAAGAAGTGCAATTGTTTAGAACAAATGTGCTGAGAGCTGGAAAAACAGCTTTCCTTGCACAGATACTACAGCAAAAAACATTGCACAAAGAGATGGTGTTGCACTGGCATTAGCCAAAGTGCAGAAGTATCTCCCGTATATAAAATTCTGCTTCAGACAGAATTATCGCTGTTTCGTCTGAATTGATATTCTGAGGTATCAATCACAAATGCCAGCTTTCGCATTCCACTGGTAAATGTAACGTTTCGTTTCATGATACGGGATTTACACGGTTAAAACTCACTGACTACTTTCTTCCATTCTCCTATAAAGACTTTTTAATCAGGTCACGGATGCAGTCTATCAGATGCAAGACTGCATTGATGTACAAATGATTTTAGTTGCTATTGTCTAACTGTCTCCGCGACCCGAAAAGAGAAGCCTTTATGGAAGATGAAGAGGATTGTTGTTTAATGGTGAAACGTATATCGGATCAAGAGCCAGACGTAAAGATTGGGGTGACCACATGTAATTTGAAATAAAACAAAAGGCTTTTTCATGTTGTCTATCTTCGAAACGCAAAATAAGAATTGATGCGCAAGAGAAATAGGTAAACTGGGTATGTGACGAATGATATTAGAAAATAAAAAGAAGTCGCGTCGTTGGATGATCAAAGCCTGGAAAATTTGGCATCATATTTCATCTTCATTTGTCACACATTTATCGTTACCGTTGTGGCAGATGTGGAGACAAACACTGAGCAATGCAGAAGCTGGTACCCGGTCTAATTCGTAATGTTTTGGATCATGTAGAGTTTATTTGGCCATTTTGTCAACTGCTGTACGTTGTTTATAAGTTAGCGCGAGAAACAGAAAGAAACGTTGCCTAATGGCGTCAACCGCGGCTAAATACCGTGTTTATATGCTTAAAATATTAGAATCATTAAAATATTAGAATGATGCTCTCCGTTCAGAAAAATCCTGATATCATGGTCAAGTTTGGGCAACATACCTATACAGAGATGCCCAGGTTTTGATTACCCAGTGGCGTGGAGGATGCTGCTGTTCACGTATTTTTGGACATTGGACACTCAGACAGCAATTCAGATCTGTCTGCCTTAGACGACGAGCTGTCACCATCCATTTAGACGATCGACGGCATGATTCCGCTGTACTGTCCTCATTTATAGCCATGGCCATCATCATTCAATAGAAATATGCACCTAGTTAGACGATGATTCTCTGAGACCGATTTGTTTCAGGAAATAGTATAAGACTTCTGTAAACTGGCCATCACCATGGATTCCTTAGTCGAAAGTTCTAAGTTAAACAAGGGGGCTTTAAAAACTAAGCATAACACAAGACGTGCACGTGATCCTTCACTTTGCTGGTTATTTTATCTTTATGATCAGACAGCGAAATTGTTTTTTAATTACGCTATACATGTGCACACAAGAAAAACTAAAATTACCACAGTCAGTTGAGGAAAGAAAAGGGTTGGAACCTTCTGTTATGATATTTATAAAATGGAGTAGAGCCAGTCATTATACCATCGAAATCGTGTAACTCGTGACAACCATTATCACGATCGACAGTTCAGAAACTTCCTTACTAGCTTTGGTGTGAATCAGGTTCCAGAATAAGAGCAACAAGTGCACTGCACTGCCAGAGAACTAAATCAGAAATGTTGTTACCATCATTTATAACTAGTGCTTCATATATTGTCGGCAAATTCGAACAGCCTATGAATAGGATGAAGCATAATTTTTAAAATGTACTTCAACATATTGAGCCATGTTTCTCTATGTTAAATGAAGTAACGACTGCAGATAGACTTAAAATTCGCTACATCAGGCAAGCTTATATATTCCAAAGAGAAGTAGCTTACCTGCTCAGATTTTGCTACCGGATTAAAGAGGCGTAAGCACCACCCCTTTGCTTATTGTGCTTAGGGGACCACTTAGTATCCCACGGCTTTTCAGCAACTGCAGTGCAAGGTTGTAGAAACGCATCATCATGCAGGATCGAACAAAGCCGTTTTCTGACACTTGCAAATATGCCACGGACCGTAGGCATATTTATACAAAAAATTCCAGACCTTATTTGTTTACTAGTGTTGCTGGTTATCTCTACCGCAGGAGAAAGAACTAACACTTTCTCCTTTGATACCGGATCGAAGCAGTGTAAGCACGATACTCTCGCTTCTAGTGGTCTAGGGGACCATTTAAGCAGGCCACGTTTTCATGGTATTTGAGCACCTGCGGTGTGGATGCAAAACCGTATCACCAGGCAGGGCTGAACATGGGTCTGTTCGAACACCCAAAAATATGCCACGATCAGTAGGCATGTTATGCAGAAAAATAAAGCTCGATCTTATGGGTTTACTAGTATAGTGTTAGTTGCTTTGCGGTGGTATCAATAACTAGCAGTATGCTACTAAGCCCATAAGATCGAGTTTTATTTCTCTGCATGGAAAAGTAGCCTTTTAGCTTTACTGAACGGGGAAATCGTTTCAGAAATTTGCAGTGCAAAAGCACTGAGTCTGATCGAGTACTGCTTGTTTAGTCGCTAAACCAGCAAATTTGAGTTATACAAATAGTGATTCCTTTATCCTCCCTACTTGACAGCACCTATGATATATGGAAGCGTAAGGTTGTCAACATGCAACCATGCCAGCTTTTCTGTCCGTCAGAATTCCAGCGCGGAAGCCACGAAAAATTGCATTCTCTCGTAGTTGACTGAGTAACTGGAGCAAAACCACGTAGGTAGCAACCAGACTCAACATGTGCTTCGCTTTTTAACGAAAAAAGAATTAATCAGATTCTGAGAACTCCTTGGCGGCTTGAAAGTAAGGAGGAACATGTAAGGGGCGTCACCATGTGTGGTATGATAGCACAGTACTTTTTTAAGTTTCATTATTATCAAATAAAACTTTTCGCAAAGAAGTCAGAACCGAATGTCGTCATAAAAGCTACGCCAAACTGCAAGTGCTATAATAAACATAGATGGCTTTTATGATGAGCTAGAATGTATGGCTAAAATATTAAGAAACGATGTCTTTGTGCAGCATGCGTATGCGGGACTTTCTACTTGGTTCAAGGAGCTGTTCCTTAGCTTGTTGAAAGTTTGTCGCGTCTGAAAGCACGTCTTGAATGAACACCATTTATGTGAAGAACAACATCGAATCATTATCATAAACAATACATCGATATTATTCTACTCTTGTTCATCTGCAGAAAGCACTAATCTATACGTAGGTGTGGCGGAGATCCAGAAATTCACGACTATCGGTCAATGGCTCAATTTATTGGTGGAATGTCAATCAGAGCATGAATGGTTTAGGAATAAACCATTAAAGTCATTTTAGTACAACACGTTGTTACAGAAGCGCAAACTTGTCAAAATTTGCAAAAAATGTATGATAACGATAATTCTGCGTGTTGGAAAAACCTATCCGGTGGAATCAATGACCTTGGCATAAAAATCAAACAACAAATATCCGCAAAGCTTGATTTTTACGCCGGCGCCAAACCGATTCTTTAAAGTGATGGATTCTATTACACGTATGCAGTGTAAATTATGACAGTAATTCTACATCAAGCTCTATTCTGTTCAGTGTTAGCAAAAGCAATAAATCAGAATTTTCTGTTCGTAAAAATGTAAGGTATAAATTATTCAAGACCATAAAGTACAATAAAAATCAACAAATCACAAAACATTCTGAAAGTTTCTTCGAGGGCACCAAAGCCGCTTAAAGTAAGGATGGAAAGGTCACGAGTAAGCATCCTTTCACAACCATCTGCGATCAAGCAGAGTCACTATCGTTGCTAATAGAACGCAACTGGCAAGCAGGTAAGCGCATCTTCACAGCCTCAACCATGATGTGAATGGCGACTAAAACTGAATCGTTAAAAACTTAACGGTCATGCCACCGCCAACAATCAAAACACTGAGCTCACTTTTGATTTTACACGACGTTGAGCTAGCATCGAAGCGCTAACGGGTTCCAGGGGTGGAGCCAATTGCGGTTTCTTGATCGCCTTGTATGTGGCCATTACAGCAGCCTGAACGACATACAAATGGAAACATGCCGAGCGATGAATCAGCGCCATGGTCTGAAAGACCTCATGACCTACCTTCACTGCCGAAGGGTCTGTCTTGAACTGTATCTTTGAATGCGGGAGCAGGTGGCGTTGCGTAATCCAGGCATGTTGCAATATGTTGGCCGCCGTGATTCGTTGGTGTGGGTCAACGTACAACATTTTGCGCACAAGGTCCTAAATTGAGCAAAGCCATACTAAGCAGCGGGAGTCATTACAAAACTGAGAGTACTGGAGTTTCTTCAGATCAGGAAAGAAGAGATAATGAAACTGCGAATAAGATCATTCACAAATTTGAGCGGGTCTCGTCAACTTGCTCCTAATTAAATTAGGACATTCTGTTCAGAGCTCCAGATGGCATGAAGCGCAAATTTAATGTTGCCTTTTTCAGAATATACCATATTTACGTTGCTGATGTACGGTTTCCATAGAGCATATGTAATTTACTACAACATACTACAACATAATAAAGCCTAATATTTAATTTGTGGGTATTTCAAAATTAACAAAGCGTTTCCGGTTTACAAAAGCGCATTAATGAGAATGCTTTCTGGTGTAAAGTGATGGAAGCCATCAAAGAAAAAGTTGTGTAGTACAACTGGAATTATTTTGTGAGTGAGAAATCAACGCCTTGAAAACGAAATTTAAACAATCAGGCATGATAACCGTTTTCTGAAAAGCTTATGATGAATATCCAGTTATTCATACAGAACCACCAAACTCTCAGTCAACAACAATGTGAAACCGCGAGGCTTGTTCTCTTAGAGTAACATGCTACTATCAGCATCAAGTCAGAACCTCACTGATGAATTATGAAACGTTTCAGCCGTGACGAAACCTCGCGCTTACCGCTGATCAAGCAGGCGCAATTTCAGTGATCACAATGAAACCATCATCACACACGAGAGTACCACAAGAGAAAATAATGCCAAAAAACTAAGGGCAACATCGTTAGATAATAACAGCATATTTAAGGACAAAGGGTTCGACAGCAGAACAGCACCTCCCACCTACTCTATCTTAATGTCTAACTGGCCATTTAAATAGACTACGCTCACGGATTCCTGGACTTTGAACACAGACAAACAAAAGATTAAAATCTAGAATAAAAAGCGTAATGGCATCGCACTGTCTGCCTCCTCCGTTCAGAACGGGTAGCGACTCCGTTGCTGACTGGTATCTTC